TAAAAGGCCTAAATACATGAGGAGATGAACGCATTCATGGAAAGAAATGTTCAGTATGTAAAGATTTCAGTTCTCTCCAACATTGTCTATAGATTTGATCAATGCCTTTAAAATCTCCACAGGATTTTTTTGTGGTAAGTGATAAACTGATTCTGAGGGTCAAGAATAATGAAGACTCTCCTAAAGAAGAAGGTAAGTGTGGGGCTGTGGTACTACCTGAAAAGATAAGAAGCAGCTCTGGCAATTAAGTCATTACAATACTGGTGCAGGACTAGAAAGAATGTCTGTCTTAGGAAAGAATGGCCTGTTTATTAAGTGATCCTGAGGCACTTGGTTATCCATATTGGCTAAAATTGGATTCTTTCCTCATACCTATCAAAAAAATCAGTTCTAAGTAGATTCAAACTTAAATGTGAAAGGTTAAAACTTTAGAAGACAATGTGGGAGAATATCTTTGTAACCTCAGGGAGGGAAATATTTCTTAAGATACAAAAAGCTCAAAATATAAAGGAAAAGATTAATAAATTGGGACTGCCATTATATTTAAAGATGACTGTTCATCAAAAACAGAGTGAAAAACAAGCCTTAAAGTAGGAGATGTTTGCAAGACATACCTTCCATAGGATTAAAATACAAGAAGTATAAAGAACTCTTGCAAATCAGCACAAGAAAGGCAACCCAGTGAAATACTACACCAAAGACGGGAACAGGCGTTTCACAGGCGAAGAAACACAAATGGCCCATAAATGCAGGAAAAGATGCTCAATCTTTTTAGTAATCAGGAAATTGCAATTTAAAACCACAATACCATTTGTCACCCACCAGATTGGCACATGTTAAAATGTCTGACAAGAACGAGGGTTGGCCAGAATGTGGAGGGTCAGGAAGTCTCCCACACAGCCGATGGGGGTGGAAATTAGTGTAACCACTTTGTAAAAACAAGTTGACAGTGCCTAGTAAGATTGAATGTGTGTAATTTATGACCGAATAATTCCACTCTTAAGAAATTCTTACACATGGCCACCGGGAGACATGGACAAAGAAGTTTACAGCAGCATTGTGAATGAGAGGGAAAAATGGAAACAACCCAAGTGTTCATCGGCAGTGGAATGGATGTATAAATTATGATGTGATAAAGCAATGAGGTGCAGTTAAACGGTGAAAAAAGTGAATGAATTACAGCTACATGCATCACCAAGTATGAATTGTAACATAATTTTGAGGGAAAGAAGCAAGTTGCAGAAAAAGAAAATATTGGTAAGTGTGCATAGGTTTTAAACATGTGCAGTCATGCACCATATAATGACATTTTGGTCAATGATAGACCGCATATCCCACAGTGGTCCCATAAGATTAGTACCGTACAGCTTAGGTGTGTTAGTAGGTTATACCATCCAGGTTTGTGTCAGCACACTTAGGATATTCACACAATGGTAAAATCTGACAACGCATTTCTCAGAACACATCCCTGTAGTTAAGCAATACGTTGACTGTATTAAATAAATCATGGATTATTTCTACATGATTGCTAAAATAATAAAATCCAGGACACTGATTACCAGGAGAAGAGCAGATGTGGTGGGAGTGGGCTGTGTTAAAAAAGGGCCCACAGCAAAGCTTCAAAGTGATGATAACGTTTTATTTCTCAGGCAGAAGAGTGGGTAGATGGATATTTGCTTTATAACTTTTTAAACTGTACATGCATGTTTTAGGCTCTCACATATTTTAAAAAAATTGTAACCAGTATTATTTTTAAGAGATAGGAGGAAATGTTTTGAAATTAGATAAAGTGGATTAGAGTATTGAAAATGCACAAATATTGGAAATCATCACCTGTCTGGAGATTTAATTTTCTAGGTTAAGGCCTCTCCATATACCAGGTTTTTGTTTGTTTGTTTGTTTGTTTGTTTAAAGATTGGCACCTGAGCTAACAACTGTTGCCAATTTTTTGTGTCTGTGTGTGTATGCTTTTTCTCCCTGAATCCCCCTGGTACGTAGTTGTATATTTTAGTTGTGGGTCCTTCTAGTTGTGGCTTGTGGGATGCCGCTCAGCATGGCCTAATGAGCAATGCCATGTCTGCATCCAGGATCCTAACCAGCTAAACCCTGGGCCACCAAAGCAGAGCACCTGAACTTAACCACTCGGCCACGGGGCCGGCCCCTCCATATACCAGTTTTAAAGTTCAGGGAGGGGAAAGGCACAGAGACCTGAAGAAGCATCTCTGTCATGGCAGCTTAAATGAAGCTTGGGAGATGCTGGTGCCTAAGCCTGGACTGGTTGCTGTCCTCCCTCACTGCCGTGAATATTTAGTGACTAACCACCAGGTCCTGGGCATCGTCCTAGGGGCCAAGTAGCCAAAGAGATAATGTCCCTGTCTTGGCACTTATAGCAGTTTTCAAATTCTTGCTTACAGTTTTCGTTAATCTTAGCCTCCTAAACTAACTCCACCCTCAAATTCACTTCAGGTCCATATCATAATTCACTCTTCGAGATCTTTTTAAACAAATCATTTATTTACATATTTAGACAGCCTAATTGAATGCGTATCTTTAAAATTTTCAGGGTAATATCCTTTCTGGTTTGGTCTTAGCCCTTAGTTAATATTCTAATTTATCTCTATATATTTATTTCCAGTTTTTTTTCCTTCCTGTCATATGAAAACTCTCTTGAAGTGCTCTAATTATTTGGAATTGACTTTGATGTATTGATTTTACCTTTCTGTCCATATTTTTGAGACCAGAAATTGGGTCCAATCTTAAACCCTGACTTACAGCAGTATTTTTAAAATCACAACAAGCATACTGCTAGAGAATATTAGGTGGTACAAAGGGAAACATTTTTTATTTTAACTATGTAGTTATTTTATTGCTTATTATTAAATATATACATGAAACCTGTCATTTTATGGCTGTTATTGCATAGGATGCACCCAGGTTGTCTGTATGATACTCCATCTCACATAGACTGCATGAATTAATGGCCCAGGTGGTTCTCAGATATAGCAAAAACCATGAACTTAATACATGGGTTACTGATGTAGAGTTAGTTGTAAAGGTGAATTAAGGTATTCTCTGATTGTCTCTTACTTGTATCAGAATGCTCAGAAAATAAAGCTTGTGTAGTTTGGTCAGGAAAAAGCAATCCAGGAAATTCATTCAGGCAAATAATTTGTCCAGATAACATATTCTGTTGTAGGACAGGTTCTGGAAATACATAGGTGAGTGAATTGTAGATCCTGCCCCTCAAGAGCACCAGTCTAACAGGGATAGACATTAAAAAGTGCAACATAGCATGCAAAGTGCAGCTGTGGAAACGTGTGCACGAGAAATGGGTAGCTTGGAGAGATGGGCACTGACTTATGGAGCAGTGAGGAAAGTCTTCACAGAGGGAGGGAGCCTTCAAGTAGTCTTGAGAGATGAGCAGAAAATTTGCAGAGAAATAGACTGGGAAAGAGGGACCTCAGAAAGGCATGTGCCAAGGTGCAGAGAACCAAGAGAGCATATGTGTTGGGTTAACTGAGCAGCTGGTCATTTATGCTGATGTGAAGTGAGGTGAAGAGGGAGGCGGGAGCCAGACATGAAAGAGCTTGTGTGGAACATGGCGGCGTTTATTTAGATCTTATTCTATAAATGATTCTCAGCCTTTGAAAGATTTTAAGCAGAAGACTGACATGATGCCTGGGGACAGTGTAGAATGTGGATTGGAGGGGGAAGAATCAGAGCCACATTACAGCTAGTTGTTGGGCAAAGGGATAATGGAGAGCAGTTAAGGGGAAGCTGAGAATTCCTGCTTTGTTTAGCTTCATATAATTCTTAGGAAATTGGGTTACATTTAGACTATTCCCAGGATTTAATGTGTTGAAGGGGATAGTGGTGGGTGATTGGAATCAATATATGAAGTCTGTGAAGAAATTGGTATTATTTAGTTTTTATTATAAACTATTAATTAACTTTGCCTATATAGTCTTAAGGGCAAACAGATTTTTGCTTATTTTCTGTAAAAATATAGAGCAGCGTATAAAATTTAAGTGGACATGTAGTATTGATGAGGCACACTGCTGCCAACAAGTTCTATTTTCCACTTAAAGTGGTACATGTGGTAATACACTGCCGAGGCAGTAGGTTGAAATATTTAAACTTTTTTCAATTAATATCCTGCCAAGAAAATCTCAGACAACAGTGTTACTTAAAGAGAATTGGGTGGACAATAAAATCGGTATATAAAGAGCCTCCTTTACGTATAGGTTTTAGATTTGAATGTTCTACGTAACTTAATTGTGGCATACCGTTTACTTTGGCGCATATTGACTATTAAATCCTAGACTTGATAGTCTTTGGATTTGGTGTGTATTATTCTACCTTCCAGAGAAATGTATTAGCATCCCAGCTTATTTTGTACCTTGAGCATTATCATAATTTACAGTCACAGGTCTGACTCTGACTGCCTGTGTTTGTGCGTGTACTCATTTGTATGTGTACATAGCAGACCCTGAACACCAAATGTTCTGCCTCACATTTATTTTGTCAGTATTCTCTTAATAGGCATGTTTGGGATGTGGCTGAGTCAGCTGATTTGCTAACATTCAAAGGCTGTGAGCTCTCAGCATCATCTTAGCTTTTTAGTATTTTAGCCCAGCAAAAATTTCTAGCTCTGATTGGGGAATTAGCTATAACATCTTACCAAAAATGATCCAGAACATCAAAAGAGGGAGTTCATGCAAAGAGCACATAGAGATGTTCAAAAGGAGAGTTTACGTTAACTTGATAGTGTGACTGCATAGTGGAACTGAGGGAGTAGGCACAGAAATGAGGGACCACAGATGAGCTTGGAACAATTTGTAGGCCCCTTTCTGCAAAACCCAATAATGTTGATTATAATGAAACTTAGTTTGTATTGAAAAGATGTTTTCTGCAGTTCTTGTCACCAAGTTCTTTTGAAGTTCTTTTTCGTTCTTTTGAAGATTTAATTCTTTATTTCCTTATTTTCTACTTTGACACAGAAATCCCCTGCGAAGAAGCTGAGCCATGCAATTAGTAAATCTTTGGGGTGTGTACCCACCAGAGAACCTCCACATCCTGTTTTTCCTGAACAACCAGAGAAACCACTTGACCTTGCAAATATAGTGTAAGTATGTACCTGGAAGTGGATGTGGATTATTCTGAAATGGAGACCTTGCTAAATTCTTTTGGATCAAAACCAAATATCACCTAACATGAACCTTTAACCTTCTGGTTTTTACTTTATGTTTGGGGAACTTAGACTTCAAGCTTTCATCTCTTTAAATCGCCATAAATGTCTATGTGGAAACCTAGCTCCTGAGCCCCGAAGTCTAAGTAACACAGCAGCCTTCAGCAGAAACAGTAATACACTGAAGAGTGGTAATTATTGTGCTGGGTTTAGCAAGGTTGCCTTTTGTTATTTGTGTTCTTCCTTAAATCAGTAGAGATCATTTCTTCTCTACAGCAGTAATGCCCACAGATTTTAAAAATTACTTTAGACAACATGGAAATAAAAATCAACCTAATTTGCTCTTTTTGTATTGAGAGAAAATTAGAAAGCATAAGACTATATTCTGTAAATAAAACTAGTGTTTATATATATGTATGTATAAATATATATATGTGTGTGTATGTCTATGTTTAGTTGAATATTCATGCTGGAAAGTAGAGGGAACAAAAAAGTTGGAGAAATACAGAAAGAGGAAAAGTAAGGAGGAAGAGAAACAGAGAAAGTTGAGATTCAGTCTCTATTCTGGTTTCTTCACTCTGAATTAAATGATGATGTTAAGTGTACTCTGCTGGATAAAATTGGTAGGTTTTCTGATCATTAGTCTTTATCAGGTGTTTAGAAGTTTTTCTGTTGGAGTAGACACCCATTTTCTTTTACCTACCTAATGGTAGGTAGTTTGACTAAACAAGCTCTTAGGGTTCTTGATCTTTTCTTTCTTTCATTCAATAATTTTTAAGACTGTCATATTTATTAAAACAATACACACCTATGGATTAAAAATTCAGTAGGGGGCCAGCCCGGTGGCACAGCGGTTAAGTTTGCGTGTTCTGCTTCGGTGGCCCGGGGTTCACCAGTTCAGATCCTGGGTGCAGACATATGCGCCGCTTGGCAAGCCATGCTGTGGCAGGCGTCCCACATGTAAAGTGGAAGGAAGATGGGCACCGATGTTAGCTCAGGGCCAGTCTTCCTCAGCAAAAAGAGGAGGATTGTTGGCAGACGTTAGCTCAGGGCTAATCTTTCTCAAAAAAAAAAAAAAAATCAGTAATGCAGAAGAGCTTATAATGAAATGCAGCACATCCCCCCACACTTCATCGTGCTTTCTCTGGGTTTTAGATCTACTAGTGGTTACCTCCAGATCTCTAAATAGTATATTTAGAGCACCATTTCTTGACTTACAGGTCTGGGCATTATTGAATTTCTTCTGTGGTGTAAGGAACCAATCTCATTTATAACTCTATATCAACTCATTCCAGTTTTTCATAATTATATCGCCATTTTTTAAAGTTGGTTAACTTTGTAATTTTAAATAATATTCTTAAACCTTTATTTCTTGTAACTTCTTTCTACTTGCACTGTGTAAACTGAAGAAATTAGTGCCTTCTACTTCTCTCTTCTCCTTTTGCCTCCTAACTTCTGTCATCTGTGCCATTACTTTTATATTGTCAAAGCTGATAATATTTCTGTTCTCGTCTATGACTGTAACTAAGTCTTCAGAGATGTATTAAGGGTTAAACCTAAAAGTTGGAAACCAAAGAACAGCATTTGCAGTTAATAGCATTCATTACAAAGTCAGACAGTGTGCTGCGATTCTGTAAATCCTTTTGTCTAGTTCCAGTGTCATGATCCCTGTGCAGTTATTCTCGCATCCGAGTTCAATGGGAACTTCTTTCTTACACACCACTGATTGCTCAAAATCATGCCTGCCGACTTTATAACCGGATTGACTTTCTGACTGTTGTTTGTCCTTCAGTTTCCCATTGCTTTCTTATTCCTGCTGGGAAAAAATATGCTTTTTTTCCCCTACTATGTTTCATAGTGAATTTTACCTGTTGCTTGTAATCCATTTTTCAGTTAAATTTGTTAACCTTTTCCCTTTTTGGTTAGTGTTTTTTATGTTGCATCTTTTCATTAAAAAAAGAAATCCTTGCCTGCCCCAACATTGTAGTGGTTTTCTCTCTCTCTTTTTTTTTAGTTTTGAAGATATCCCTTTCATGTATGTCTTTAATTCATCTGGAATGGATTTTTGTGTATGGTGTAATATAGAATATCCAGTTCTCTTTCCCTCTCTCTCTTTGCATTTGAATAATAGCTTGTCTCAGGGCATTTATTGGATAACCCATCATTTCCTCACTGACCTACAATGCCACCATTGTCATAAATGAAGTTTCCAAATATACATCGTCTGGTTTCTGGGCTCTTTATTCTGTTCCTTTGGGTCCAGTTGTCCATCCCTATGCCACTGTCACACTGTCTTAATTACTATAAGGGATTAAGTAATCTTCTTTTTTAGGAATGTCTTGTCTGTTCTTTGCTTGTTCATATAAATTTAGAATCAGCTTATTGAGTCCCTCATAAAATATTTTTGGAATTTTGATCAGAGATTCGTTATATCTCAAGATTAAATTGGGGAGAATTAACATCTTTACAATATTAAGCCTTCCATTCCATAAATGTGTTATGTCTTTCCATTTATTTAAATATTCTTTTGTGCCTTTCAGTAAAGCTTTATAATTTTTTCCCAGAAAGGTCTTGTATCTGTTAGATTAATTCTTGTGTGCTTTAGATTTGTTGTTGCTGTTGCAAAGGGTGCCTTTTTTCCTACAATTTTTTTGAGGTATAATTTGTATGCAATAAAATGCACCCACGTTAAGTGTACAATGCAGTGAGTTTTGGCAAATGTATACAGTCATGCAAATTGTATCTTTTTTGACCTGTGTGTCTTAACAGTTTGTTGCTGGTATATGGAAATGAAAATTGTTTTTTGTATTTTAATCCACTATCTAATCATCTTGCTTAACTTACTCATTAATTCTAGTAATTTGTACTCAGATTCTTTTGGATTTTCTATAAATAATTATATCACCTGCAAATAATGATAGCTTTGTTTCTTCCCTCCTACTCCTTATACTTTTAAGTTTTAATCATACTTTTTTTCTTTTGATCCTTTTGTGCCGGCTAGAACCTCCAGTGCAACACTGAATAAAAGTGGTTTAGTAGGCATTCTTGTGTTATTACTAATCCCAAAGAGAATGCTTTCAGCGTTCGTTTAGTTTGTTATTTGATGTAGGATTTGTAGAAACTGTTTATTAGATAAAAGAGATTCCCTTTTATTCATAGTTTGCTAAAAGTGCTTTCGTTTTGTCATGAAAGGATGTCGAATGTTATCAAAGACTTTTTTCTGCATTAATTGAGATGATTGTGTGAGTTTCTTTATTCTATTAATATAGTAAATTACATTAATTGTTTTTTTTAAACAACCCTACGTTCCTGGAATAAACATAAGTTGACCTTCCTTTTAATACACTGCTGGATTTCATTTGCTAATATTTTGTTTAGATTTTGTGTATGTTTGTGAGTTAAATTGTCCTGTAATTTCCCTTGTTTGTTTTTTTTTTTATCTTGTTTTATTTTTAGGACAAAGTTTGCCCAGTTTGCTGTCTTCAAAGAGTTGAGGAGCATTCTTTCTTTGTATATATTTTGGAAGCACTTGTTTGAGATTGGAATTATTTGCTCCTTAAATTTTTGGTAAAACTCACCAATGAAGCTATCCGTGCCCAAAGCCAAATTCTTTGGGGGAAGATTTTTAACCGTTAATTCCATTTTTAAAAATAATTATAAGACTATTTTCACTTTTTATTTCTTTTTGAATCACCTTGGAACATTTTATATTTGTAAGAATTTGTCAATTTCATCAAAATTTCCAAAGTTATTGGTACAAAATTCATAATATTTTATCTACAGGAAGTGTGTTAATGTCCCATTTTTATTCCTACTCTCATGTATTTATGGTTTTTCTCTCTTTTTTTTCCTTGAAAAGTCTTGCTATAGGTTTGTCTAATCTGTATTATTTCTTTTGCTATAGTTTCTTTGGGTTTATTGTGCTACTCTTTTTCTTACTTCTTTAAAAATATAGTTAGCTTACTCATTTCAGCTTTTTTCCCCCTATTAAGCATTCAAGGCTATTAATTTCTCTGAGCACTAACTGAGTAGTATCCAATTTTATTATGTAATTTTTAAAATTGTCTTTTATTGTTTATTTTCTAAGTTCTGCTATGATTTCTTCTTTGAGGAGTATACTTTCTTAATTTCCAAACATGGGGGTTTTCTAGTTGCCTTTTTGTTATTAATTTCTAGTTTAATTTCATTTTGGCCTGAAAAATTGTCTGCATTTATCAGTTCTTTCAAATTTGTTGAGAGACACTTATTATCTAGCATATGACCAAGTTTTTATTATGTTCCAGGTAAGCGTCAAAACAACGTTTATTCTATGCTTTTTGGGTGCAGAGTTTACAGTGAATGACCGTGTGTCCATTAGGTCAAGTTAATCACGTTACTCACATCTTCTGTAGCTTTACTGACTTGTTCAAAATGATACATTTCACTAGGAAATTGAAAATTTATTCTCAGGTAGTGACTCTCTCTATTCCTAATAATTCTGTTTGTCCTTAAGTCTATTTTGTCTGCTAGTAACATTTTAATATCTTTTGCTGGTATGTGCCTAGTTTAACTTTCTCCATCCTTTTACTTTCAACCTCTCTGTGTCCTTAGGTTTTCAGTATGTTTCTTGTAAACTGTAAGCTGGATTTTTAAAATCTGACCTGACAACCTGTCTTAACTGGGGAGTTTGATCTATTTAAATGTATTATTATAATATTATCATTATTGTAATCAGTCATTTATTATAATTTAAATTGATTTATGTTATTATAGTTTTAAAAATTAGTATTACTGTGATATTTGAACTTTTTTCTACCATCTTATTTTGTGCTATTTATCATATTTTAAAAATTTACCTCTGTTTGCATATCCCACTCTAGTCACCCTCTCCACCCATAGGTAACTATTCTATGTGCTTATTGTATATCTTTTTTTTTTTTTTTGAGGAAGATTAGCCC